TTTWTTTTTTWTTWTTTTTAGAATGTATGAATGGAAAAATACAACGAGCACAACACCAGAAATAAATATTTCATCATAATTGCTTCCATTTTAAAATCCAATGCCAGCTGAATGTGGTATTTACTGCATTATGTATTTTAAATTGAAAACTGGGAATAAATTTGGTTAACATTTAACATGAAAACTTGGCAGCTTGAATCTTGTAAAAGAAGGAATTTGAGAAGATTTTTGAGTAACAAATTAGCAAAACTTGGACTGCAAAATACACTGCCCCCTTAATTTCCATTAGTAGGCCCCAATCATCTAGCCCCCTGTATCAAACTAAGCAGTCACCCTCGGGAAGTAGCCAAGTGGTGGCTTATTAGGTTTAGGTTGACTGCTTTACTGTAATAGAGCTATTCTATAATTAATTAAACAGAAGTGGTTGCTTTGGTCTTGAGGTTCCYTGCAAATATTTAAATGAAGGCGAAACTTTTTGTGTTAATTGAAAGTATTATGGTTAGGTTYGATGAACAGTAGAAAGAAACTAGACATTCACTTACCAATGTAATAATTATTATATTCTAACTAGGTGACRGTTTAGATAGAGATAAAACACAATAAAAGTAGCAAATCGGGAAGTCTAAATGGTGACTGCTTCCATTCAATATAGTCATGATCTTTTACGTACTGTTTAATAAACGAGCAGCGACCCGATAAAACACGATCTGAGAGCTAAGTTATTTAYGAAATGAACCAAGTTTGATACTAGAGAAAATCCAAGTTAAAGTTTATGTAAAAGAATCTATATCAGATATAAAACCTCCTTCATGGTCATGATTTCTCTTGTGTTTCCTTCATGAATTATTAATGAGTTTTTACTGCAATTTTCATAAACATGCAAACTCTGTGTGTGCAAGCTGCATGCTGAAATATTTGTTTTTTCGCTGCCGCCAGTCAAAAATATGAAAGGTACTAACTGAATGGGTTTGATTGATGGCAGTGAAAAACTTAAAAAATTTAAAATTCAGGATATTTATTTTCAGTTCATCATCTGACTTCTTTTGTTAAAGACGTAATAGATAATTGGTACCTTTTAGAGTCAAAAAATTATTAATTGCCACACCCACCTTGACAAGACCCCTCTTAGGGGTCATTTTTTAACTTGTGGATACGCATAGCATAGAAACGAAGTTATTGTTAAGTTATTTACGATCGATATTTAAACAATTGCCAGTCGTATGAAGTTGTATCTGCTTACGAACTCTGAAATATTTTGACAGATACAAGAAAGCTGCTCGTGAAAACTGGTGCATTCTCTTACTTACATAGGATACCCAAATYATTATATGAGTAATTTGTGTTCTATTTGTTGATGTGGGATGGTATCTGGATTGTTTCCAACACTGTCGGGTGTTATAATCATGCGCACAAGCCTATCAATGAGTGAGAGGAATAATACTACACAGGCAACCTGTCACAGAAATTTGAGCACTATTTGAGATTTATAAGAACATATTTCACTGCTGATTGACAGCACTTATTTGATCGAGTGCCTGTCCGAGAGATCTACCATTGTCCGAGAGATCCACCAATTGTGCAATATYAAAATAAATGGAAATATGAAGTGAAATAAAAATGAATGGCTTTGAATTTTGTACAATATGATATATTATGTAGCTATCATTCATACATTCAAAGGTGGGATGTACATTTTCAAATAACTGTCTAGAACAAATTCATAACAAATATGACATACTACAAATAATGTACAATTTAACAATGATATATATGACCAAATTTGGAGCAATTGTGGATTTGTTCGTTTGACATAAAAAATGGGATTTTTTTTTCATATTTTGTTAAAAATGAAGTGAAGACTGTTTGCTGTATAGTACTGTTCAGAGGCTTAAACTTGAGCAAAACAAACAAGAAATGTTGAAAATGGTGAACGAAACTGAGTTTATATTGCAAGACTTTCACATTCATTTATGYCTAACATAAAGACCGAATGAGAAGYGCCTTTTACTCGTCAGGATGTCCCTGAAGTAGAGATGAAATCRAACATTGTTATAAACCCAGCTCGCGGGTTATATATGAGTTAAATTTCCATAACTTAACTTTTTCTCCAAAATCGAGATCCTTTACAAATATTGTCATTTGGGTATAGAGTGAAGATATTTAACCCATTAAATGGATATAAGGGATATAAGACTAATACACATTAATAATTAGTAATTATTTGTGTAAAATAATATGACACTATAGAGCAATAAAGACAATCAATCAAAGTGTTTCTYGATGTCCCGATTTTGTTACCTAAAAGCCAGCAAACAGAGAAAAGCAATTCTGCCTTTTTACAACTGTATAATATGCAAAACTATCATTAATTGGAGATAATTAAAGGGGCACTTGGATGAAAA